TTATATGAACATTTCCCTTCTAGCGGCTGTATTTTCCAATTTTCACGTATTGCCTTATCAATTGAAACACTATGCTTGTTGGCATGATGGCGGCTATCGGGGTTAACACGTCCGAACAACGTCGTTCTTTACCGTCGCTCATCCATGGTCGAAAATGAAAGGGCAATCAAAGGGGTACTATTTTGCTTATTTTTGACGGATTTCTTTGCTTTTTTCGCCATTGGCGTACTATTGAGACCCTCACGTCCCCTCTAAACCCCTGTGAGATCTATCGTAATCGCTTCCTTTAACGCAAACCACGTAATTATGGATTAAAAAAATTCAAAACTCAGGAAGCCGGTTAGAACTCACGGATTAACACGAGACATGAAATTTTCTTTTGAGAAGATTGACAGCATTAATGGTGTGTGGAACAAAGCCTGAAAAAGACTACATCATTCGGAACATGTCGAAAAGCTACTTCAAGATCAAGTAATTACAATAATAGGCTAAACTAACGATTCTTTGATTAGGCTAAGGTAAGTTTTTACCTATCAGGAAAAAATGTCATAAAACTAATCTTGTAGGATATCAATTGTTGTGGGCAGTCATGATACTCAAGATAAACCGTAACACTGGAGGGATATACAGTCGATATCCGAGAGTTGGGGTAGGCGTGTCACCGGAAGTGACGTGCACTTGATAGAAGTTGCGTGGATAAGCTGTTGCCAGCATGCTTTGCTGATATCCAGTAATGTATGTATGATATGAAACGAAACAACCGAAACTTGATTCAGGCCCGTCCACCTGTGTGCACGCTCATTAACCATTGATCTCCTTCCTTGGCTTCCACTTTTTCCAACTATCTCAGAAAATAATTCCGAATTTTTTACTTCTTTTCCACCCTGTACAATAACGCTTTTCCTATCACAAACTTTGTTTCCTCCTCTTTGGCTAACTTCGGTCTACTTTCTGCTGTTTCCTAGACATTTTACAAGGGAGTTATGAATTTTCGGATAACGTGAAGTGCCGCCCCAAAATAGGTAACCCATGCTCTAACGCTCCACAAAGAGAAAACTGCGCTCCTGCACTCAATCAACACTCTCATGGACCTATCAGGCGATTTTACACGAAAACGAGACCAATTTGGAGCAAATCCGGTGCCGATAGTTATAATAATCGTGATAATCACACTTTCAGGTACCCTCCCCTTCAAAAAGCGAGAAAGTGTCGGGTGCAGACCATGCACCACAAGTGACGACGGCCTCCACAAAATGTAAATGTTTTCTGCCAATGAAATGATTAGCCTGTTGCGGCTCCCAGACAATACTTAACCATTTGGGCGCGGCCGCGGCGAACGCGGCCGAGTTGATGGGTGCCCGCGAACTCAGCACAGGCACCTCGAAGTTCGCGAAGCAATTCTATTCTACCGATTGTCACTAATTACAACTATCATTCACCAGAAATCAGCTATCACTATGAACAACTTCGGGTCTGTTGGCCGACGGCGGGGCATTTGTTGACGCAATCTGCTAACGAAACAAAACGTGTAAAAAAGTGCAACGCCTTCTAACAGCAAACAAAACAGAACTGTAAAGATCCAAAATTCATCTAAAGCTTCAAAGGAAAGTCCTCTCAACAAAATAAGGCCCT